ATTTTCTCTCTATTTCTGGACAAACTTCAAAATTAATTAAATGCTTGGTCTGGTTTCCAGGGCAAATGGGAAGCGCCTGTTCCTGGGCTCCTTGACTAGCTAAAGGGATTTGCTGTAGACTTGCTTTCTGTGTAGCAGAGACACTGAGAAGTGCAGTGCAGCTTAAAACACTCTTTAAGCTGCTCTGGTTTGCACTGGCAGATGGGCTCAGACAATCACGAGGCACAGAAAAGGTCTCACCTTTGCTCCCCGGCATCCCGAGGGTGGTATGCACACCAGCGCTCCCTCCCTAGGCACGGCAAATGAAGCAGCAGCAGCCCCATGCCTGCCTTGCACCATTTCAGTTCTCCTTTCTTTCCCTCTGTATTGCCAGCTCCCACTTCTTTTTCTCCGCTTGGTTTGTTTCTTGCAACAGTCTCTTGCTGACTTCTTTCTGCTGAGCTTTCAGTTTCCCTTGCAGGTTCATTGAAAGTTGCCTGCACAAGGGCTGTGAGAAGATGCAAAGCTCCTGCTGACCCTAGCAACTAGCAACAGAAGGGGAACTTGCGCCCTCTCCCCCACCCTCCAAACTGCCCCAGCCGTGTCCAGCAAAGAGGGACTCACCTTGGCACGACCTTGTGAGCAAGAGGTCTCGGTGTGGTACTGGGATCTTCGCAGGACAGGGCTTCTGCTGAAGCCCAGGAGGCTGTTCAAAGACAACGTAGTCGCTTGTACCTCGGATGCTCTTGGGATGAATTCTCACCCAAGCGCATAGTTAGGGAAGAGTGAGATGTTTTGCCACATGAAGTATAGGTTTCTGAACATTAAATTGCATCACCCTATTAGCAGAAAACCGGGCAAGCTGACACCTAGGCTTGCACTGGGAAGAAAATTTCAGAGAGGTGGTTGCCATGTGTTTGAGAGAGGCATTGAAGGCTTGGGATGGTGGTGTGTCAGTGGCTTAACTTGAGCACGGTTGAGCAATTACATTTTTTGGGCTCACTCATGGAATGACTTAACATAGCAGCTCCCTGAGAGATAAACAAGTCGTCTTTCCTTTCTCTACGAGTGACTGTGCTGGGCTTTTTTTCCCCATTTCCCACCCCGCCCCCCTCATCACACTGTTCCCATTCTCATTTCTTTAGTGACTGTCCTAAAATGGAAGAGGAAGCCAGCGATATCCCAGAGCAGCATCTGGAACAGTCCTTTCTCTTGGGGGAAGGATAGAGTCTCTAAAATGGGGTGCAGCCTATGCGCTGTACAGATGCATTTAGCAGTGCAAGGTTAGAGGAACTGTCACGTTGGACCTACGATGTGACACTTCCAGGTTTCTTCCTTCTGAACCCGTCCCCTTTCTTCTTACCCTTCCTTCCTCTCCTTCTTCTTCCCCTTTTCTTTCCTCATTGCCTTCCCCGGTAAGGACAATTCTGAACTAGGAGTACATGTAAGCCATGGGTTTGGAGTATTTCTGATGCTCATACATTTGGTAAGGAGGGGTTTGGGTTTTTATATGTTCCTTTTTTCCCTTCTGTTGTCTCGACACCACCACCACAAACCAATTTAGCGTGGTGGAAGTGGCTTATCTAAGTTTTGTTATATTGGTTGCTTCTGGCAGCTCATGGCAAAACAGCACAGAGTGCCACAAACTTTTTTTTCTTACAAATGTGAAACTTAACCAAAAATCTTACAATTACAGCAGTAATGAAAAAAAGGTTACAAATCAGCTGAGCTTTGTTTCTTTCCATAGCTTGCTGGGGCATGGAAATATTTTTTGACTAATCAGTTGCTTCCAACTTTTTTATTAACCCCCTTTAAGTGTGTTAGTTCTAACACCACCTATATCCAGAAGACAAATGGTATCGTTTATACCAGAGTAGTGAAATGGGATGCATGTGAGATGAGACGTCTTTTCCAAATAGAGGGGTTCAGAAGTTTAAAGCCAGGCTTTTGCTAAAGGTGAGCCAGTATCTTCCTGTGGATTTTCATAGGACTGGGATGGTTTACACCAGATGAAGATCTGGCTCTTCATACAATCACACATGACTTATTTCACCCTCATATTTAGGAAAAAGAAAGCTTTAGGGTAACAGATGGGTCAGAACGTGACAACATGTAGTTTTCTGGAGTTTGAAGGAAGCGGCTACTAACTTCAGACCTTTGCACAGTAAAGATGGGTGATCTGCAATTGAAGTGCAGCCTGGCAGTCACCCTGCCTCCGAGCCTTGCCTCTCAGCACCCACGAAGAAACAGGGTAGCCAGGTCCCTTCATATTCCATGGCTGTGCCTGGAGAACCCTGCAAAATAAGGCTGCTCTAGAAAGCTGCCTCCTCCAGAGCAGCTGCCCTGTTGTTATGAATTAGGAGGGACAGCTTGCCTGTATCCCAACAGCAGAAGTTAAAAATACATGGGGAGCAAGGCACCCTGTTCCTACTGACTTTCCTTCGGACTTGGAGCAGGTGTGTGGTGTGTGTTTAACTCCCAAATGTGAGACTCCATGCTTAGGATTTAAACGTCCTGTTGGATACGTACCCGCAATAGCCTTACGCAAAGCCGCAAATAGCCGAGTGATACTCCAGACAGGAAGAAATTAGCTTAAACTTGTTTCTGTCAGGGTGAGGGCATAGTGCGAGTGAATTTGCTACTTGTTTAAGAGAGGGCAGTGGGGACAGAAGCCTCCTATTTTGGCTTGGCAGCAACAGAGACCCCAGTAACAGTCATGGCAGTGACAGTGAAGTCCCTGGTGACTGGAAAAAGGGAAACATTGTGCCCATTTTCAAAAAGGGTAGAAAGGAAGACCCTGGGAACTACCAACCTGTCAGCCTCCCCTCTGTGCCTGGGAAGATCATGGAACAGATCCTCCTAGAAGCTATGCTAAGGCACATGGAGGCCAGGGAGATAATTCAAGATAGCCAGCATGGCTTCACCAAGGTCAAGTCCTGCCTGAAGAACCTAGTGACTTTCTACGATGGTGTGACAACAACAGTGGACAAAGAAAAATCAACAGACGTCATCTATCTGGACTTCTGCAAAGCCTTTGACACAGTCCCCCACAACATCCTTCTCTCTAAATTGGAGAGCTACGGATTTGATGGGTGGACTGTTCAGTGGATAAGGAACTGGCTGGATGGTCACATCCAGAGGGTAGTGGTCAATGGCTCAATGTCTGGATGGAGACCAGTGACAAGTGGTGTCCCTCAGGGGTCCGCACTGGGACCGGTGCTGTTTAATGTTTTCATCAATGACTTAGACAGCGAGATCGAGTGCACCCTCAGCAAGTTTGCGGATGACACCAAGCTGAGTGGTGCGGTTGACACACCAGAAGGACGGGATGTCATCCAGAGAGACCTGGACAGGCTGGAGAGGTGGGCCTGGGTGAACCTTAGATAGACAGGTAAGCACAGGCTGTCTATTTAACTAACAAGGACTTCCCACTCAGTGAGAATATTGTCATCATAGATTGAAACTATAAAATAAAAATTCTGAGAGATTACTTGATACAAATTAGTATCTTAAGTTGTATTGAAGGAACTGTCCATGTTGTAAATCAGTATTAGACCTGGAGTACTGCATCCAGCTCTGGAGCCCTCAGCACAAGAAGGACATGGAAGTGTTGGAGCGGTTCCAGAGGAGGGCTACTGAAATGATCTGAGGGCTGGAGCACCTCTCCTATGAGAACAGGCTGAGAGAGTTGGGGTTGTTCAGCCTGGAGAAGAGAAGGCTGCAAGGAGACCTGATTGCAGCCTTTCAGTACTTAAGGGGGGCCTATAGGAAAGATGGGGAAAATCTTTTTAGTAGAGACAGCTGTGACAAGACAAGGGGTAATGGCTTTAGACTAAAACAGGGTAGGTTTAGACTGGATATAAGGAAGAAATTTTTTACAATGAGGGTGGTGAAACACTGGAACAGGTTGCCCAGAGAGGTGGTGGAGGCCCCATCCCTGGAAACATTCAAGGCCAGGTTGGACGGGGCTCTGAGCAACCTGATCTAGTTAGCGGTGTCCCTGCTCCTGCAGGGGGGTTGGACTGGATGACCTCTAGGGGTCCCTTCCAACCCAAAACATTCTATGATTCTATGACAGCTTCTGGATACGTGCAGGGTTTTGTTCGCCTTTGCATGGGTCTCTGAGCAAAGGCGTTGCAGAGAGCCTGCTGCCAGTGGTCAGGGCTGCCTGTGCAAACACCTAAAACCTCACCTGGGCTCTGCAAAAGATACTTTTCCAGGAATAAAAAAAATCACAGCAGTTAGGTCGCTGCATCACAGCTCATCACTCCCATTTCGTCCTCTCGTTGCTCTGGCTTCTGGGAGGCTGGGTGGCATATGTGTGCTGTGGGATTGGTATGTTTATTTGGGTGGGAGCAAGTTACACTAGATAAGTGCCACCACACCATCCCTTGCATGCAGTCAAACACACAAGATTGTTGACTCAGGTCCCCAAAAGTGAAAGGACAGTTGAGAACATTATGATAGGTAAATATCACAATTTTTCCTAATGTTTGGGCTAGTTCTTGTTTGCTTTCTTACCTAGAGTGCTCAGGACCTGAATTTGTCAAAACTTCCTCTGAAAGTGCAAGTATTTAGGTGCTTGCTCATTTGAGCCACAGTGTAGGCTCTTTGCAGTGCTTTGATAAATTGTTTTTGGTTCCATCCCAAGTATCAGTTACTATTGTTATGGGCTTTCCTCTTTTCCTGCACTGCAACCACTGAATACTCCTTGCATTTCCTAATTTTTCTTGTCTAAGCCACGAAATGCAGTTAAGAGCAATGTATTAGGTTTTTTGTTCCTGCTCTTTGATGGCCTTGATTGCCACCTGAGGTATTTGTCAGTAACAGGATTCTTTTTCTAGAAAACGGTGCTTCTCTGGCTCCCGGGTACTGCAGTATTCTTAACCACACCACAACTGAGGTTTGTAAGGTGTTTGGTGAAATGTTCTGTAGAAATGTCAAGTACTGGTTGGTATTCATGAAAAATGGGCTGTTCCCTAAGCCATTAAAACTAAGAGTATGTTCTTGCAGGAGCCATGATGTCTTCGCCAAATGATGTCAGTATGGAAGAAATAATGCTGGAAGATGATGAGCGAGACAGCATAGAATACAAGATCCTAATGGCCTATGCCCAGCGGCGGTTGTCTGTCAGTAAATACGGGAAACTTCTGAAAAACAAGGCTAATGAGCAGAAATCATCATCCTTAATTGGGAGAAAAGTAAAGACTGAGCATCAAAGGAATAAAGCTGGACCAAGCTGGAGAATAGTTTCAGAGGGTCCCGTGATGAAACAGGGGGACAAAAAGCAACTGAAAAGGGCATTTTTGCCAGGATATTGTCTACCTTTGGTCTGCAGCAGAGCAGAGCTGGAAGAGCCCCCAGAGCTGTCATTGCACCAAGATCACATGGCACAATCTGCGAGCCCTCAAGAAGGGAGTTCTCAGCATCAGACAAGTACGTCTTAGTTCTTTGCTTTTGCTGTTTGTTTTAAAATCTCTCTCTAAATAGCTTAAATGGCTGGTGCCCTGTGCAAGGCAGGAGGAAGGAGGTGGTTTCTTTCATTTTTTGGTCACTTTCACTTTTTGGTCAATCTGCCAGATCTTCAGTAGTGCTTGCACACACAAGATTCATGCTTGTGACTGCTTTTTCTGTTTTCCATCGTATGGTGGTTAAGTATTGTATAATAGCAGGGGTTGGTTTTTTTTCTGAGCAATTGCACAGGTGGGTTTTTTTTTCTGAGCATTGGCTTTTTCTTTTTCATACCTGGTCAGGCTGAAGACCTCCACACTAAAATCAAGGAAGAGAAGTTGCCTGAAGGCCCGTTCAAGGAGCTTTATCATGCAATAAATATTTCACGCTAAAGACAGAGGTGCTAGATTCTGCTTGAAACACTGGTGCCAAGCAGTTGGCAGTGACCAACCTCAAGCACAGAGCAGCCTGTGTCTCTCGGCCACCTCTCATAACCCTACCGTGTATCTTAAATGGAAAGAGTCTTCCAGAGTTACCTAAGTCTCCTTTACACGTTGTTATTATATTAAGTCTGAACCTGCCCTCCCACGTGTTGGAAGAACATCCAGGGATCCCATCCACACAAACAAACATCTTGTACCCCAGCCCCCAAAGCCAGCCCCACATCAGGTGCTACACTGCAGGCAATGAGTTTTTACCTTTTCTGCTCTGGATAATAACTAATACCTTAACTTCTCGTACAAGACTGAGAGAGGAGGCTGAGGTATCCCCATTAAATTGCCATATACAGTATCTGATAGGTTGCCATATTGTTTTCATATACATAGGGTAGGGGGTTGTTTGTTTAATTTGTCCCAGCTTGACACCATTGGTATCACAGTGATTGCTCTCCCCTTTCACTGCCTTTAAAGATATTTCTAAAAATTATCCATCACTGACTTCTTGAGGCTAATGCCTCATCCCTGATGAGTTTAACTGTCCTGGGCCAGCTCCTACCCACCAAGCCCGTAACTCCCCCTGCTGCCAGATCCAGCTCTGTCTCTCAAGAAAAGGTCCCTGCCTCAGCCCAGTGCCTTCTGCTCAGGGGGAAAAACTATAACATTCTACTGTTTGGTTGCCAGGGACACGTGTCTGCATCCAGATATCCATGTTTATGTCCATTTTATTTTCACATTGCCAAGGAAAGTGCTTGAGAGCTTGGGTGCAATCACTTGATGGCCCTGCCAATATATCACCATGTTCCCTGTAGCATCGGTGGCAGCATGGCCTCAAGGTAAAACCTCCCTGTGCTAGGCATCAACCTCCCTGGGGATCCTGCTTGGCTTCAAATCCAGGCTTTACCTTCCCTTTCGCAGATTGCTGGACCAATTCCTAAAACATTATTATTATTTATCATTTAAACCGCTAGCAGCTGCACTGCAAGCTTGGCCAGTCCATTCTGTCAGGACACCTTTTAGACGAAACAAACCTTGCAACAGCTCCTCCTCTTCTTTTTGATATAGCAGGATCCCCACTGGTGTCCCCTCACTGAGCGATGCCTTCAGCTGGTCAGGGTCCTGAGTAGGGTCATTACAGCATAAAGCCAGTCTGGTCACTGAATCCTGCCAGTATTTGTCTCTGCTTAATACCACAGTGTCAAGGGCATGAGAAGCTTTTGTGCTAGAGGTGCCTCTGAAGTGAAGTCTGCTGCTCCTTTGCTCAGGATTAGCCTGTGAGAACAAGGAAAGAGCAGTTAAATAGACCATCTTTTCTGAATCTGGACCTGTAGGTGAATTAATCATGGGCAACACCACTCTCACAGTAAGGTCTAAGATTCACGTTCCTATAGAGCAGTACTCTCACATTTCTTAATAAACGGCGTGATTCTGGCTTGCAAGGATGTACGCCAGCGAGCAACACTCACACTTGCTTCTGTATGGCCTCTGCATAGTTACCTGCTGCTCAAATACTAGAGAGGGGTTGCACCTCGGGGGGCATGTAAATGAGTAAATGGCTAAATTATGTCCTGGAGAGATTAACCGCCTTCTTTATTTCCCACCCTCCTTCACAATCAGGTGAAACAGCAGATGTCAACCACATTGCAGACAAACTTGCCAAGCTTGTTACTTCCAAATCCCAGGAATCTCCTTCAGATGCGTCATTCCAGATAATGTGTCGTGCCTCGTGCCAGGAACAAGATGACAGTGATCCTACTGATGGAACTGAGGGCAAAGAACATGGTAAGGGTGAAGAATTTCATGCTCACAGACAGTATCTCAGGTTGGGATTGCACGCTGAGGCACTTTCACTAGACGTGGTGAAGCACTCAGGGCTTTTGCAGCAAGACGCTGTGAAGAAGGCAGTTTGCTCTGCTGGTTCTTGCTCTTGTTGCCCACATTTCTATGTGTTCCATTTGGGGCCCCTCACTACAAGAAAGACATTGAGGCGCTGGAGCATGTCCAGAGAAGGGCAACGAAGCTGATGAAGGGTCTGGAGCACAAGTCCTGTGGAGTGGCTGAGGGAACTGGGGTTGTTTAGCCTGGAGAAGAGGAGGCTGAGGGGAGACCTTATCACCCTCTACAACTGCCTGAAAGGAGGTTGTAGTGAGGTGGGTGTTGGTCTCTTCTCCCGAGTATCAAGTGATAGGATGAGAGGAAATGACCTCAAGTTGCACCAGAGGAGGTTTAGATTAGATATTAGGAAAAATTTCTTCACTGAAAGAGTTATCAGAAACTGGAATGGGCTACCCAGGGACATGGTTGAGTCCCCATCCCTGGAGGTATTCAAAAGACGGGTGGACAAGTAGTAGTGGACAGGTCCAGTTGGACTCAATGATCTTAAAGGTCTTTTCCGACCAAATGATTCTATGATTCTATGATTTCAGGGACTGCTCTAGCAGTACTCTAACAAGTCCTGCCTGCTACTGCAATTAAAGGGAGCATCCTTGAAAATCCAAGGATTGGATCCACATGAGAAAAGGAGGATGAGGGCAAAGCAAGGGTATAGTGACAGAGCAGCGGTGGGAGTGGCAGGGCTGGGGGAAGATTAACACACAGGGGCCGTAAGGCCAAAGACCAGTCTTTGGGGCAATAATGTCTTGGTCAATCCCTCTTCGGTGACAGGACACCACTGCTCAACAATCTCTGTTTTAAGTCTGAACTGCTTGTCTTCCATGACATCTGAAGAGATTTAGTTTTAATGCAAGCTTTCTAGGGATTTCTGGTTACAAGAGGGATCCTGCCATACTTGCATTTTCTTTAATCCGTCAAACCCAGAGTTTGTCCTAATAAGTTGCAGAAGGTATAATTGGTAATGATGAGAGGATTTTTTTTTCCATAATTTTAAGTCCATTTTCGTGGGCTTCCACTAGCTGCTCTTTTGTTCTGGCTCGTTATCAGACATACCTCAAAGCCCAAAGGGCTGGCAGTGGCATGTTAAAACCCTTGCTCTTTCCCAGATTCTTAACTGGAGCAGAACATCGGGCAGATGGAGAAATACCATTGCTTACTCCACACAGACTAGAACAGTGAGCTTCAGCTTAAAGCCTGGATACACAACTCAGTGAATTTGCCACAAACTAGCAGCTGTTTTCATGATTAAGTGACAGAGGCTTTCACCACAGTTTGCTGTCTGGATCCAATATCGATGTTTCTCTTTTCTTTAACAGATGAAGAAAAGATAATACAAACAATAGTTTCACTGTTAAGACAATCAGGAGACCAACTAGAAAAAAAGGTAAGTCAAGTCCTCCTCTTTTCAGGAGCTACACAGGCTAGAGCGTGAGACGTGACCCGTCTCTTCGGACGGCATGCTGTGTAACCTAGTGCGCTCTTGTCTCTATCCTGAACTTCCCTTTCTCCATCTAGGGCTTTCTGAAACCTTCGCCATTCATCCTGAAATCATTCTTAAGACCAAAGGACTAGCAGAGATCTCTCTTGGGGTGTGGGAAGAAGGCAACAAACATGTTGTGCATTTCAAAGAGGAGTCACTTGCCTCATTCCCGTTGAATTTCACAGGAAGTTGAGCACTCGACTGACTCTGAGAAACTCTTGTGTTTGCATTAGATTTGTCATACAAGTTGTTCCCAGTGGAGGGACAGAAACTCATAGAATCATAGAATTGTTTAGGTTGGAAAAGACCTTTAAGATCATCAAGTCCAACCATTAACCTAACACTGCCATCCCACCACTAAACCATGTCCCTAAGCACTTCGTCTGCCCGTCTCTTAAATACCTCCATGGATGGGGACTTGACCACTTTCCCGAGCAGCCCATTCCAATGCTTAACAACCCTTTCTGTGAAGAAATTTTTCCTAATGTCCAACCTAAACCTGCCGTGGCGCAACTTCAGACCATTTCCCCTCGTCCTATTGCCTGTTATCAGGGAGAAGAGGCCGACCCCCACCTCGCTACAGCCTCCTTTCAGGCAGTTGTAGAGGGTGATAAAGTCTCCCCTCAGCCTCCTCTTCTCCAGATTAAACAACCCCAGTTCCCTCAGCCACTCCTCGTAAGACTTGTGCTCCAGACCCCTCCACAGCTTTGAGAGCTGCTGAAGGGAAATAAATCTTCTGAGTGCAATTTGATAGCCCTGCCCAAAAGCTATAGAAGAACCCTCATACAAGTCCATTAGTTGGAGTGGATGTTTATTAAAAATATAGGTACTTGTTCCCTTTAATTCCTCCTTTAGCTGCCCCCTACCTATAAAGGTATGCTCCCACGTGGAGGACACGCTCCACTCTTGCAGCAGAGAGGTAGCCAAGTACAGTAAGAAGCATCACAAAGACCGTGACTGAGCAAAAGGAGTTTAGCATGGCAGCTGTTGCCAGCACCTCTCATAACCCTGCCTTTACTCTGATATCGGTGTCATACTTGTTTTGCTTTCTCTCTCTCTGCTTCTCTCATTCAAATGCAAAAAAACTGAAGATTTTTTTAGAGAAAAAACCATAGAACCACCTCCAGCGCCTGAGCAGCTTTGCACCAAGGTGTGGGCTTTGTCTGTCATCTCTTGCATTCACCACCACGATTAGACTATATTACTTAAAGATGCTCTCCTTTCCCACTGAGATGGGGCAAGCAATTCCAACAAGAGTGGCTCAGTTTAACCAATCCGTATTCTTATTTTCAGATCAAAAAGGACAGGATTTTGTATCAGGATTTTAAAGACATGCTGTCCTACACCTTCTTCAAGAGGATCACTGATTTGGTCCTGGAGGATGTCTCAGCAGATTCAACAAACAAGCCAAGAGACCAAGTACAATGCACGAAAGTTGCCTTTACAATGGAAGTTGCCACCAGACTTACTGCTGTGGACACCCATCCTATGAACCTGGTCTTGGGCTTTGGGTTAAAGTACCTCAGAGAACACTTCAAGCCATGGATTCAGGACCAGGGTGGCTGGGTACGCGTTTTGCCTCCCTTGACTTCTGCATAGCCTAAGTCACCTCAAAGCAGCACACTTTCATGGAACTAACATGGACCAGATGCAAACCAAACCCAACTGCATATACTTTAACACAGCGGGGACTCCAGCTGTGGAATTACTTGCTACAAGACATCTTCTATGCTGCAAGTTTTTTATTTACATAGGTCCAAAAATCAGTAGGAGACATTCATGGAGGGTTGTAAAGTATAAAACACGATTCCTGGCGCAGGCAGTCTCTTCACCACAAATAGCTGAAGGCTGGGAGAACCACCAGGAAACTTCACACTTGCCCTAATACTTCTCCCTAGAAGTGTGCTGTTGGCAGGTTCTGGGGACAGCAGTTCATTCAGTCCGCCCTTACGGCGTGGTATGCTTCCACTTTGCCTGTACACAGAGGCATCTGTTTATCTTCATAGCCCTCTTTCAAAGTCAGTTGTGCAAGGTGCTCTTTCACCAGCAGTGGTGCTGAGCTGCTGCCTTTTGCAGCTCATTTACCTGGATTTGCTGGGAGGCACTTGCATCGGAGATCCTAATCCGTTTGTGCTTCATGAAATGAATGGAAACATTCAGCAGCTGTACAGCCTGCATCCATTGGAATAGACAGCATGTGAGGTCAGGAAATCCTACTGGCAAACCTACTGACTAACTTCAAGCAGGGTTGAAATTAGGATGAAAGTCCTCATTGCTTTTATAACTGTAAGTTTTCTTTCTGTGTTACAGGAAAAGGCTTTGGCTTCACTGGATCAGGAAGAAGTAGAGTAATCATGACCGAATTCATTCTTCAGGGTGCAGGAGCCTTCAGTTAAGGAACATGCAGGATCTTACCGCAGTCTAATGCCAGAATGCTTCATGGCTATGTACTTTTATTTTTTCCATGGAAATTTCAAGTGTTGCATGGATAACTCCGATGGGTACAACTGCGCTTACTTACAGTTGATGTAGAAGTGTTCTGTGGATATGAAGGCACTTCCAATTCCCCTGGAGCATTCAGCCCCACAGGTAGTGATTTTAGGTACCTTTCTGAGTAGAGATGCTTGCCACTACTCCTATGGGTAGATGTTAAAGTGCAAACTGGAGGAACATATCAAAGTATGCAATCGAGAACCACTGGACTCTGATCAACCATCAACCACGCGAGACGAGCGCTGCCAGCTTTGTGTGGTTCATAGTGGCACCATCTGTTACCAGTTCCACAGTCCCTTGTTAGAAGACATACCTATGCACTGCTACTGGTTCCCTCTCTCCCCCCTGCTCCTTCTCTGATTAGATTCTCTGAAGTGTTGATGTCATTTTATACTTCTGAAAGGGACTGAGTAAGGTCAGTAACGGCTTTTTACTCCAGTGCCTTCCCCATTCCCCCAAGAAAATAGACTTGATCTACCTAGAGATGCCTTTAATTTGAACTCTTCTGTTTTAAACCCCTTCAAAGCGTAGCATAATACAGCATCATTTGGTCCACTAGTGTGGAAGATACAAACATTCTGAGAGCTTTGTAATGCAAGAAATTTAAAACTTACTCTACTGCATCGCTTTTCTTCCTTATTCAAAAGCAGCTCAATGCTACGTGTAATCTCAGGGATTTCTCCATAAGCTGAACTGGCCCTTCAGCCACTGAAAACAAGCGATCTGACTTGAGTTCTTGAATCTGGATGTGTGGCAGCAGAAGGAATAACAGTGCATCATTTAAGGTAGAGGCGGATGCCAGTGAAACTATTCATGATTTTGAGGCTTGGTTTGTGGCACATTTAGTTGATGACTTTTGGATTTCCATCCCCCACAAATCCCCAGTGAAGAAAGAGGGACCTCAGGACATCTGCCGAATCTGCAAAGCTGTGGCATCGCCTCTGTGACTTTCCAGTACAAACAGGTAATTTTTCCTGAAAAGGGTCTCTGCCTCTCAGTAAGATACCCTTCCATCACGGGTGCTCCTTCTGTGTGTATGTTAACTACAAAGACTGTGTGAAGAAGTTGTTAACAAATCGTGAATATGAATGAAAGTAATAAAAAGCATTTTAACTGGATGTCTAAAATGCACACTGCTATCAAAGGTGAAGTATTTTTCTAATAAACCTTAAACTTTCAACTCAAACTCTGCCTCTGTTTGGACACATATGTGTGAAACAAAAGATGGAGAAGGTGGAACCTTTGCTTCCCTTCCTCAAAGGAGTTGGGAAATACTTCATATATCTCTAGACTGTAAATCTAAGATTCCCTTAGTTTTTAAGAACATCCACTCTTTCTAATCACATCAGATATCCCCAAAGGGGGATGATTTGTGGGGGAGAGGCAAGAACTTACTCAGAAGTTCAAAATGTCGTTCTTCTCCTCCTGTCTCTTTCTCCAACATCTTTTTCCTATGGAAAAAAAAAATTGTGAGGCGTTGTACCCTCCCACACATTGGAGGCTGTTGCTTTATTATAAGTTTGATTGGTTTCTAAAGCAGGCTTGTTTGCTAGATCTTGGCTCTGAAGAGCTGTATCTGATTCCATTTTAGTATAAGACTAGACTCAGTCTGCTAGCCTACACCAGTTCGCCATTAGTTGGGCGCTAGCTTATGGAAATCACTTTTTAAATTTTCTCTGCTTGAATAACAGCCTGCTATTTAGCAAGGTGCAAATTCTGAGTTTGTGAGTGTGGTTTTCCAGCTGAAGGTTTAGCAGCCCTAAACCTGCACTTGTCCCTCATCCCTGGTTTGGTACCTCAGGGCCAGTTTCATGCCAAGAGTGGGGCCAACAGCAAAACAGACCGTCTTGAATGGGAATGCGAAAACTCGCCATCTAAGAAAAGATATTCAGCTGGGTTTTATTTTTCTCTGGGTTGTTAAGAGAGATTTTTTTCAGTAACAGTAGGGGCCAGCATAGGAAATCAGCCAAGTGAGCTGTTTCTTATTTAGTCATTCTTACATTTGTCATCCGCATCAGTGAGATTTTAATAGCAATCTACTCCTTTTATGGCAGGGATCTGTGGTAACCTCCTTACTGGAACGACGGCTTTGGTTTATTCTAAGAGCAGTCAGCAAGGCTGAGCACCAAGCTGTTGCCACTGCTGCTGCCTGGCATGAATTAACAAAGCTCTACTACTGGCTCAGTTGGTCTTCGTCTTGCTGTCTTTTTTTATTCTGTGATGACTAAACTAGCAGCAGAGAAATGCGTGCGTTTTGGGTGTGTATGGAAGCGGAAGGGATGTTGTGAGGGAGGGGGACTGGCCATGCCTTCATTTCAGGTTAATCTCTCACAAGACATCATTGCCTGTGCTTAGCTGTAGGACCCTCTGCTGACAAATTGGGGTCTTACTGTAAAAGATAGAGAGGTTTACTGTTAAACCAAGAAGTGTCGCTTGGGATTTTTCTTATGCTATCTGTAGCCAGGTCAGCAACATGCTATTTGTTACATCGGCAAGTTTGATTTCAAAATGATCTGACTTCACCCTGTGTTAAGGTTGCAACAACAGAGTTTAGCCCTGCGCGGGTGATGCTGGGATTTAAAGGACGCCAGCAGCATCCTGCGGCTGCCTTCTGCACTGCGTTAAAGGGAGCCAGTCCATGGGGGCAGCCCGTGTTAGCACCCGGGAGCTGCCGTCCCAGCCTAACGTCACCCTCCGAGAGCCGGGACTCCAGCAGCGAGTGGGACCTGCCCCGGCTGCCATTCCCTGGAGCGACTACAGGCATCAGGAAAGAGGATCCCGCTCTCCACATGCACACGTGTTGCGCAAAGGAGCTCTGCTCTGGCTCGCGGCCGCAGCGTCTCTCACTCCAGTGAGTAAGCAGGGGGTAGAAATAGTAGAAAATGGTCTGGAGCCTTCGCCCAAACCCAAACATTTTACTTGTCTGTTACTTACCTTTGCTTCAGCTCTCAGAGGGCCAGATTTCTTTCAGCTCTCAGGAAATGCTGGCAAATCCGGTGTTTCTCCAACAGGCTGATGAGGCATAGGGAGGCATCCTTGGGTCTTCTCAGGGCATTGCATGGCCTCCCTCTTTTTAAGCTGCTTTGCCTTTCTCTCCTTCCCATGGGTGAGTAGCGTGCTGCGAGTACCCATGCACACATGTGAGGAGACAGAAAAGCAGCAGGTGGACAGCAAGCGAATTGCAGCGGAGCACCGAGGGGAATAGCTCAATAGACAGCATTGTCTGAAAAGTGGATTTACTTCCTATGACTTTGTCTGCTGCGGAGGCTCACAATCTGGAACAAGTTCAGGGTGAAAAGTTCACAGCCGAGGTGGTGTAGTGTGAGTGGAGGGTGAGAACCAAGCAGCAAACGTTACAGCTGATTGCCTGCCTTGGTTGTTATCTGCAGCTGAGATGCTCTTGCCAGGGATGGTGTAAACCCCAGAAGTGAGACAGAAATTCTAGCTCCGTTGCATGATACCCAGCCCAGGAGGTTGTGGGGTGGAGTAAAGAGATGTTCTGGGATTGGTGCTACTGCGATCCACCCTAGTCGACCCACAGAGAAGGTTTCTCTGGTGTCCCATGACTCACTTTGCTGCACGTCTGCTGCAGCCAAAGCCCAAATCTTTTCCCTGTGCAGATGCAGAGATGATGCATTTTCCTGCCTGGGGTGGTAGCAAAGATGGGTTGCAAAAAGATTTCTTGCTGGAGTCAGCATCTTTGCTGACTGATACAATCTCTATGCTGACTATCATGATAGTCTTCCCCTCGTCATTCTACCACAGGGGCACTTTTGGCAGATCCATGCCAAACATGGCTCTTTTCTCTAAGGGGAAGCTCAGATGCTTCCCAGCCAAAGCTAGCATGCTAAGAGGCAAACCAACTGAGTTCATCACTGGATGCTGGAGGGAGAGGGGAGTTCAGATTTTAGAAGTTAAACACCCAAAGTGGAACTTTCTCTCTGCCACTGCAGTGATTCTGCTTTAAATATTCATTACACGCAGCACTGCAATGGAAAATTTGGGTTATGCTTATGTTATCTTCCCTAGAGATCTGAACCTGGATTTTCTTACACACCAGCGAGCTGCTCTAACCTCCATTGATATGGATAATACTACCACGTGGATAATACCACCAGCATTAGCCTCTGTTTCCCCCCAACCTGAAATGATATATCCAGGGAAGCATCTGCTAGATTGGTCCTGTTTGCCAAACAGGCAAGAGGACAGCCTATACCGAGCAGCTCCTCACCGCTCAGACTGAGGGCTCTGCTCCTGTCTGGTGGCAGAAATGCAGGCAAGTATGGGACTATTTTTGTTAAGCAAGGCCTGAAGGAAGGCCTTGGTGATGCCAGCGGCACCTAAATATTCGCTGTAGGTGCCTGTAGTGAAATTAAAATCTTTTGGTGGGTCAAGGCTCTAGGAGCAGCCAGAGGCAGGGGTATGAACCGTACCAGGATAGAGGAAGACTACACACACGCTCTGTATTTGAAGTAGCTATGCGTGCCTGGCTTCAGCTGGCTTGGCTTTGGATCTTGGGAAAGGTGCCTTCCTGTGAGCACCTGGGTTACAAAAATTTGCTGTGGGGTGGCGGATACGGGAATTTCTTCAGGCATAATTATCATCATGTTAAGCATCAGAGAAAAGGTGAGGGTGACCTTGCAACTGACCTCTGGCAAAGCTATGGAAGGCTGTTAATGGCAGCCAAGTCTTGTGCTTTGCCTTGCCAACCCCAACATCAAAAAGCCCTGAGTGAGCACCTCAACCTCTCCCAGAAAAACCCTGAAAGATTAACCCCCTTGGGTGGTGTTCTGGGGTTTTCAAAATTGTTGTGGAGGCTGGGTGTCATATTTGCCTTCTGTATTTTATCCTTTCAGGTAAATGCAGATCGCTTGGTTATTTTCCCTCCAG